AAAAAAAAAATTCTTTGCGGCCCGGTAGAGAGTGCTCCACGGCCCGGTACCGGTCCGCGGCCCGGTGGTTGAGGACCCCTGAGGTAAATAATGCAAAATAATGCCCTCTGCTCGCACCGCCCGGCCTCCGCTCGCACCGCTCGCACCGCCCGGCCTCCGCTCGCACCGCCCGGCCTCCGCTGGCTTCTTAACATTATATCGGCGTATAACACGCATACATCATTTGCCCCCTATTTTCAGGGGGAAAAAAGTGCGTGTTATACGCCGATAAATACGGTATTATGCGGCCCAGCCTCACCCAGACTCTGCCTCCAGTGGCCCCCAGGTAAATTGTGTTTGAGACCCCTGCTGTAGAGATTCTCAGTCATCCAAAGGTGCTTTTTTCAGGAGGCAATTGGACTTACTTGGTTTTTTTTTTTTTTTTGAAGATGTTTCGCTTCTCATCCAAAAAGCTTCTTCACCTCTGACAGGATAGTTTATCTGATAAACCTGCAAGTGCTGATAAACCTCCAGGTGACCTCAATGACTCTCTAAAAGAATGCAAATGACCAGCTGTCTGCAAGGAATATAAATCCTTCCACTCCCCACTATCCTGTCAGAGCTGAAGAGGCTTCTTGGATGAGAAGCAAAACGTCTTCAAAAGAAAATCAAAGTCCAGTTGCCTCCTGAAAAAGCACCTTTGGGATTACCCAAAAAGATGGATGGATATTTTTCATACCTGAATGTGTGGTAATTAGATTATTTTCCCTGAATTTTTACGGCACTCCTATATAGTTGTCCATTTCTTTGTAACAGTTATTGGCATTTGACCATCCTTCATGAGTCAGCGAAGAATATTTCCAGATGATGAAAAAGGAAACTGCTTTGAACTGCAGTGAAGAGGTCAAACTACCTTCTTGAGAAAATACGAATGCTCTGAATAACTCTTTACTTCTCTACTGCTTACATCACAACTTGGACATTTAGTGTACACAGACATAATACAAGACAGCACAGGACCTGAAGCTTATACCAGTACAGGCATAAAATCTCATCATAAAACTCAAAAGTTCTAGGTGGATAGAAGGGCAAATAATTACCAGCATTGAAGAAGTATTTGAAGATTCAGCTTAAATGGTAACAGTCAGAAGTGGTATTCAACCAGTTCTGACCAGTTCTGGAGAACTGGTCATGGAAATTTTGAGAAGTTTGCAGAACTGGCAAATACCAACTCAGATTGGCCCTGTCCCCAACTATTCTCTGCCTCCCGAGTCCCAGCTGATCGGCTGAGTCTTCTTTGGTTGCCCTGCACAGGAGAACAGAGCTGGAAAGCAGGTTAGTGGGGTGGGGAGGGAATGGGGATTTTGCCGTTTCTTTCTCCCGCCATGCCCACCAAGCCCACAGAACCCCACCACTGGCAACAGTCCATCATAAATATGGCTTACTGAGGAATTCTTAGAAGAAGGGGAAGTTTGGGAACAGTTGGTTTGATGAGAGAGGAAACATGCTTTGAAGAATTTCCCCAAGAAAATCCAAAGGGGGAAAAGATGATTAAAAGCATGTTCTCGGAAATAGCTTTTGGATAACTGAAATTCAGGAAGAGGTTCCGCGTGTTACTAGTTTATATAAATAACTAGGTCATTGTTATTTCTGTTGGCTTTAATGCGGGACAGGAAATAGCAATGAAGGAAGCAGGAAATGGGTGCGTGTTGTGGTCCAGCTTTTGAATAGAATCTGAAAATAGCGGAATTCTGTCCAGGAATCCGGTGGAGAATGAAGATGAGGGAAGTGGGAGAGAGAAAGAGAGAAGAAAGAGAAGGAAAAGAGAATGAA